CTAAGGATGAAATGTGAAGTCTCTGGGGCGGTGGAGATGAGGGAAGCGTTAGGCCTAACTCCTTCATGTAAAGTATGGGCATTTTCTCCAACAGACAAAGCAAATGCTCACATTATTCTAAGCAACAACAACCAAAAACAAAAATTATTACTTATTGAAACGATATACCTGTGAAGGATAAAATTGGCCAGATTTCCAGAAATAAAGTTGTACCCTAAACTAAAATCCATTTGTATTGCCAAAAAGGGAAGTATGTAAAGCAAGATGATGTATCAGTTCAGGATAAAATTTATCTCTAAGTGACTACGTATTTTTTTGTTGTTGTTGTTGTGTGCCCTTGAGTCGGACCCGACTCATAGCGACCCCTCCCCGTGGGTTTCCGAGGCAGTATCACTATGGATTGCCCAACCTTCCTTCCGAGGAGTGGTTGGTGGGTTTGAACCACCAGCCTTCTGGTTAGCAGGCAAGTGCCTTAGCCACTGTGCTACCAGAACTCCTAAGTGACTAAGTATTAGCAAAGTTACATATAATTACAGTCATATGCCAGATGACGCCCATTTGGGCAACATATGACTGCATACATGTCCATGGTCCTATAAGGTTATAATACCAAACCAAACCAAACTCACGGCCACTGAATCAATTCTAACTCATAGTTGCCCCCAGTGGGTTTCCAAGGCTATAAATCCTTACAGAAGCAGAATGCCTCATCTTTCTTCTATAGAGTGGCTAGTGGGTTCGAACCACTGACCTTCTGGTTAGCAGTCAAATGCTTTGACCACTACACCACCAGAGCTCCTTAAGGTTAGAAGAGTTCAGAAATCCCAACTGGAGAACAGGACTAGACTAACAGCTTCCCACACACAACGTACGTTATCTCATGTTTTTTAGATGCAAAGTGATTATGTTATCAGGCATATAATGGCACAGTATATACATATAACCTATAATAAATACGTCTTAAATACTCATAATAAATGCCTGTTACTGGCTTATGTAGGTACCGCATTTTCTATTGTTATTTTAACATGAACTTTTCCTATTTACAAATAAAAGTTTACCATGTAACAGCGTGTGCTTCGAATCATAGGCAGCAGTATCCAATGTCGTGTATTGTGCACCTCTTGACTGTTGTAGCATTATCTGTTTAATTTTCTTTCAAAAAATATTACTATGAAGTGTATCATGGCTCCCACATGCAGCAAAACCAGCGCTAGTGATAGCAGTAGCAAGAGGCAAAGGAGAAATATCAATTTGGAAGTGAAACAAAAGGTTATTAAACAATATGAAGGCCCAAATCACCTAACGTCCTATTTTACAGAACACGTCATTGACATTAAGCAACACATAACTGTACAAAAGAACGCGCTTCTCAATTCATCGGCTCTTCTGTTTCCTTCACAAACCCGCAGAACAAGAATACAGTAGTGGCTCGTTGTATGCAGAGTTATGAATTTTCCCAAGGCAAAACCTTGTGCCCAAGAAAGGAAACATCCTAAGCCCTCAGAATCATTTCACTTATGTAGGAGGAAAACTAAAGTGAAGATGCTTTAAAAAGGTGTTTGATGCCAACAATGAAGACAAGTCAGACTAAACTTGAATAGGGTTTAGTATCACAACGAGGCAGAAACACGTGAAGTATTTCATGCAGCCAACCTTGTTTATTGAGAAGTCCCAATTTTACTGCCCGTTTAGTAACATGTTTGTTCCACACACTAATTTTTCATAAAGCAAAGCACACCTTTTTCTTATAAATAGTATAAATTATTTTATTTACAGAAACTTGTTACAAAACAAATAGACTATATATTTCTTCTCTTTTAAATATCCAAAGTAATTTTCTATCCCTTGACATTTGTTCATGTTCTATACAGCAGCCAACACAAAGTCCAGCTGAGATGCTCTTGATTATGCGTACAAATTATCAAACTATTCACACATTTTAACACAGGAGATTGCTTTTTTAACCAAGCTCAAAAAAAAAAAAAAAAACCCAGCAAAATGCTTTCAAGGCCCTACATTCACACTGACAATATGTAGTGCTCATTTAAAATGATCTGAAAATGTTTTGCACAAAATGTAAAAATGATTATTGTCTGCCAAACAATGAAACTTTTAACAATCATTTTTCAAAGCCCAACTCTCTCCATTCCCAAACCCGGACAGAATGAGAAACATTAAGAAATTCCTTGGCAACAGAACTCTTGCAGGAAGACAGCTGCCTTTGTAAATTACATTTTTCAAATTACACATCTTTTTCAATGTTCTTAGAGGTATACTTCTTTTTATGGTATTTCTGGAATACAAAATATTTTAAGTTTTCTCTTTTAAACTCTGTATTTCATGAAGGAATAACAAAACAGACACATCATGTGAGTTGCTGGCTGAAAGAAAAATTTGTAACCCTTGGTGCCACTGGGCAATCTATCACCAATTGAATTACTACGAACCAAAAGGTCTTAATTTTAAAATACCTTCTAAAATTACCAGCATTGGTGGTTTTCAATTCTTCTCCTAAAATTTCAGAAACAATATTTAGGTGGAAAAAGCAAACTCCAAAAGTTCAACTGAACATTCAAGTCTTTTTAAAGAGAATCTGTCTAAGCTTAAAACTAGGTATCAGGCACTTTCAGTTTTTTCCATTAGTTTTAAACCATATCACATACTAATAACACACATGTGCTCAGAGTGTACACACACAGACACACAGACAGGCACACATGCATACACACACATAAAACACCAACAAAACAAAAGCAGTGTGTCACTTATTACATGTAGTCTATTGAGAAGTCAGGCAACTAGGGAGAAGCAATGCCCACTTCATCTGTATGAATCCACTCCCGAGACATTAGAAGGGACAAAGACTTTCACAGAACAGTGACATCCCTTAAACTTTAAAGGAGGCAGGTTCTAGAACTATTGGCTTGGCAGTGAACCACTTCAAATTATAAAAAGGTATTTATTTTAATTAATAAATAAATACTAGATGATCTCAATTGTACCAAAACAGGATTCAGAAAAAAAGACCTGTGCAAAAATACATATTTAAATATGTACAATTCATTTTTAACAAAATATGTCTTCTGAAATAGGGATACTTCCATATTTATAATAGACCAAGAAATTCCAAAATAAAGATACAAAAGTAGGTTTTGTTTAATTCTTTGTTCATCATTGCAGCACTTTTTTTTTTCCTTTTGTAGATTAAGAAAACTGCAAGAGTTGTGAAATTTTACTGGAAAGGATATAAAAAATTATCTTGGTTTTAAATTGATACCAAAGTCTGTCTAGAAACAACCCAACCACTGCAAATTTGGTTTTTGCAAGTTAATTTAATTCAAAAAAATACTTGCACTCCCGTGTTTTAAATGGTCTTATAACTGTTCGTCATAATAAAAAGTAGCTGTAGGAGAAAATAAAATATTTTAACAACAGTCTAAAATTTAATAGCACTGTTTAGAATAGGTCTGTTTGTGGCAGGCAGAATCCAAAATGGCTAATTTCCTAATCCCGATGCTCTGTGTACTACCGGGAGAGATAATGAAATTCAATTAAAACTTCAGTCTAAGAAATCAAATGATCAACACTCACTAATCTAAATATCTACATTATTCTGAATCAACTTGCTATAGTGGGTCCTATTCACATCTTTCAGAACGTCTTGATCTATCTGTAAATTCCATCACTAAAAGCAACTTTATTTATAACCATCAAGTCCCTTCAGTTTTGAAAATAAATTCTACCTATACCCCATTGCACTTGTCACCAAGGAAGCATACCTAGGTAAGTTCTGACTCCCCCTTACCTTTCTCTCTCCTAACTATACCAAACTGGCCCGTCTAAGCTTTCTCCTTACTAAACTCTCCTATAGTATCATTTAAATAACATTTACTGATTGATTGCATAATAAGTGAACAAGATACTGTTCCTCCTTAAAAAAAAAAAATCAGTATTTTACATCAATTTATAGCTAAAGTATCTGCATAAAGTTTTCTGTTGGTTTTCTTACATAAGAACAATAATTCACATTATTAGGCTGGTAACCAAGTACTTACTCTACCTGTTGTTGACTTAAAATTCCCTGAAAGTAAAATCTGTAACCCAAGAATTGTAGGAATAAAAGGATGCACTGCTTGGCTCTGTCTGGGCCCTGGCCAGGCCAATGATCAGAGCCTGGGAAAATGTACCCTGTTTTCAGTAACTCTGTGTGTTCTTCGAAGCAAAAATACCTGGTTCTCATTTCAGGGAGTGTAGTGGTAGAATCACCAGTTAAAAAGCCCCGGCTCATTCCCAAAATTCAATGACACTTTCTCAAGCAACGATGTTTGAACATATTAAGTTCTTTCTTTGGGGGTGGGGGACTAGAAAACATACACTGGAGGGCTCCAACTCTCTGAGAGAGATGGCTGGCACTAATCCCACGAAAAGAGTTGTGTCAAGGAAATAATATGTATACATTATGTAAAATCCGTGGGGTACAGGTACACCTTCTCTAAATCCCCTCCCTCTATCCCTGCTCCCTGTCCCAACCTCATCCAAACATCTGTAGTGGCATGAAGGGGCGTGCAGACACACACACAAACACAATACTGGGAGGGTTTAAAGTGGAAATTTACATTTAGTTCCACAATAGTATCCAAAAAGGAGACTGAGGGTAAGGCAGAGTGCCTTGGAAACATTTAAGTACATAATGACTTTGTGAACAACAGTTTTCATTGCATTCTAATGATTTCACTTTAAAAAGGCAACTTTTTTGAAAATAGAAGACTGAGTGGGCAACCAACCCAATCTGACATACTGTTTTAACATGAAGATGTAAAGGATAAGAAAACTCCATTCTTTGAAAATCTTGGAAAAAAACTTTTCCCTCCAATAATCATTTTACTTCCTCCCTCCCCTCACAATTTGGTGGTTTTTTTTTTTTTTTTAAATCAAAAGTAGTTAAATCACACAGAATTGCTTTTGTACCATGAAAAGTGAGCCTCTAAAATGGTTTGTACTTGCTCTTTGGGCATCAATGGCTTCAAACCAGTTTGTAAGTTAGAAAATTCTGAGTTTCTCATCTCAAATGACTTGTAAAAATGGCTGGGCAAAAATACAGGCTGTTTTGTCCCAGTGCATTGAGCTAATCTCCATATTCCACTCCTGGAACACTGCTATACAAACGTACAGCCAAATCCCCTCCTTCACAGGGCTACTCAGGGTGCATGCAGCCTCTTCTGGAAGGCGTCTCCAGTTACGGGGCCTGACTACTGGAGATGGACCTACAGAAGACAGTGTAAAAAAATAAAATTAAATTAAAAAGTCAGTGGGTAGGGGTGGGGGTTAGGGGTGTGTCAGACTACAGTAACACTCTTGCCAAAACATTCTTCTGCCCGGCCAATCTACTCAGAGTGGCTCCATGATATACTGCATGTTAAAAAAAGACAAACAGAAACAAAAACTTCTCACAGATTGGGAGCAAGCAGTCCAGACCACTTTAACACCGATAAAAGCAAGTTGGTGTCTGAACTCGATCCAGTGTCCTTTATGAGTACTCACTGCTACAGACATAGCTTCAAGGAAATCCTCGTTAAAACAACAGCCCGGCAGCTTCCTACCCTTGAGACCCACAGGAAGTTGGGAAAACAGACTCAAAGGCATCGTGGAGTCCAGAGTGTTGAGTGGAGGTGTAACTTGTCGTCAAAAGTGTCCAGATTATTCCTCCCCGTGCTATTTTCAGCTGTCAGGGACGTGCCTTTGGCTTTCAAGAAAAAAGGGGGGGGGGGGACAACGGAAAAGGTAAGTAGGTGGTTGTGCATTGTGCCACCCTGATTCTAAACAAGAAGATTCCAAACGCCACATGTCACTAAAATCACCATTGAGTGGGTGATGCCAGGAGAAGTCAGCTACAGAATTTGGCCTTAGCTTTTAAAAGCCTTCACTGCCCTGGGGCACCATCTCTCTAAAAGATTTGCTTTTAGAAAATCAGCTAGAAGAGATGCAAGACTGGGTTTCTAGCTAAGACAAAAGGCTCACGTTTGTCTTTCAGTTTTACTTACTGATTGTGTGCCCCTGAAGGTATTCCAGGTTGCCAACTGAAAACTGAACAAGGTCAAATGGGCTAGCACCCACAGGTGTGAAAGCTCCCAGCCAAAGGTATGCTCATGCCAGAGGAGAGGGTGCTCTGGCCTGCCTGCCCCATAGTGGGCTATTGTTAAGTGCTTGGGGGCAGAGGCCATGAATAGAGCTCTGCAGGGCTGTGTGCCCAGGGCCATCTTGGCTTTCCAGCATGTCTTGCTTTAGTCCCTTGTTTAGGTGGCTTTAATCAGCAATGCTTTAAAGCCAGCTCTGTAGGGGACAGCAGCCCTACTTTTCAAAAACCAGCATTCTTGGAAGCATTTTGAGATTCTGGTGAAAAGTTAGGATCCCTCCCCTCCACGTAAATGAACATAAACATGAAAGTGTACAGAACTTTCTCTGGGGTCCACTGATCTGATCTATAAGCCTCCCCTTAGAATTTGTGCAGTCTAATGAAAAGTACTCCACTACTCCAAGGAAATCTTTCTCAAACACAAATTTAAGGTGAAATTGATTTTAAGAACAAAACCCAGTTAGGCTGTTTGAGTTTTCCTTGTAGGACACAGATCCCTTCTCCAGATGGTACAAATCAGAGATGGCAAACTGGCAGCTTATGAGCCACCTGGCCACTGGATGTGTGTTTAGGCTATAAATTTTTTTTTTTTTTTTTAAAGACTACCTGCTTTAAAAATAGCCAAATTTCACAAAAAATCCAGATCTGCAGATTCTTTTAAAATTGTCTGGGTGAGAAGCAGCCCCTCCCTGTAGTAAGGCACACGTCCCCCAATCTTCCAGAGGCTGCTATTCCCTCCCATGTCCTATCAGCACCCCTCTCTCAATGAGTTACTCATGGGCATAAGGTCTAAATGAAGACACAGCACATACCCAGTGCTACAAATGTGAGATGGACCCGTTCCTCAGTGGAATACTCCCCCCACCAGAGGGCTCACATCCAATCAGGAAGCCACTCATTAAGAGGTTGCTAGGGATGGGTGTACCATTTCTTGCTATGTTTGCACTACATTTTTATGCTTATCATTAACTTTTTTTTTTTTTTTTAAACCAAGAAGTAAAAGCACAATTCTCATTTGTTCAGGAACCCTCCGATCAAAAAAAAAAAAAAAAAAAAAAAAAAAAAAAAAAGCCTATTAGTATTTGAAGCTCAAACTGAAGGCTTTATGCAGTTGATATTTAAATTCACGGATAAATTATTTTCCTCATACTTTTGGCAATAGGTGTTAATTCAGAGATACCGGAGGGAAATTAAATCACACTAGCAGACTTCTCGGCATTTTCTAAAAAAGCCCTAACCAGGCATTTGAGTTAAGATCTAAATATAAGAAAGAAAAAAATACAAACAAAAAAGAGCCTCACATTTTAAATCAGGGCTCTGGGATGATGCTGATGAAATTCCTGTTCGTAAGCAAAGTGAGCTATCCTGATGAATGAAATAACAAGAGGAGAGATAAACTGCCAAGTTAGAGTAAAGGAAGCTGGCAGAAATAGCTACCAGAGAGAACATACACAAAGATACAGTATGAGAGAGAAAGTCATGGTTAATTCTGAATCCAACATGCACTTAAGCCACTTCTCCACTAAACGGTCCCCCCTCAGATTTCTTTCTAATCTATTAATCCACATGAGATTTTAGTCTTCTGTTATGTCCATGCTTATTTTCTTGTCTCCCTTGAAAACAGGAAGGAGAAAACATGGGGTGAGATTTAAACATAAAATCTGAAATTCTGAGGGGAAAAACACTAAAAATTCACATTAAAAAATTTAAATATCCCCCTTTCTAGGTTGGTTTCAGTTTAGCCCAGTTTTCCTGAGAAGAACCCACTGGAAGACTACTACTCAGGAAATACTATGGCTTCCTTCCTTCACAGTACCAAAGGACACACACTGTTCCCCCAGGACAACGGCTTCCTCCATGGCTATGGAGAACTCCCTTCCAATTCTGCTGTTGTGCATGTTGGTTTCTTAGCCCTATATGCTAAAGGTATTATCATGGGTGGTTTCCTTACCCAGGAATATCTTCCAGTGTCATCAGATATTCTGGCAGAGAGGAGCCCTTTTACCTTCACATGGCCATAAACTCCCCCCTCCCCCACCAAAAAAAAAAAGACATCACGAAGCTGGTTATCTGTTTATAACCAACCCAACCACACAGATTTCCAAGCTGGCAAAAGATCCCAAAGGACAGGAAATGGGCATTCCCATGGGGCTCAGAGTCCATTTCCTACCTGATGAAGGAGGGAATTGTTCGTCAGTCCTTGTGCCCCTGGAATGGTGCCCGTGTGTTTCATGTGGACGTTGTTCATGGCTGGCAATTTGGCAACCTTTGTGGGTTTGCTACTGTTGTTGATGCTGCTCGAGCCAGGCGAGCACTTTCTTTTCTTTCCTATGAGTTTGTCTAGAGGAGTGTGTGAGTGTGGAAAACTGCTGTGGGAGTTGACAGACAGTTCGTTGGACTGGTGAATGAACGGGCCAAGAGAAAGAGTGGAATCACTGCTGTTCACCATCACACTCATCCTCTTGATGGATTCTGCAGGGCTCCCGCTAGGGTGGCCCCTCCCTGACTGGTCATGCCGCACGCTCACCGAGTTAGCTTTATTTGTCACACAGTTGAGGCCAATGCTATGGGAAGATGTTACCACTGAGGGATAGGGAGGCCCAGAGTGAGCCACACAGTTTTTCCTAAAAGACTCCATGGAATGAGAAGAAGAGGAAAAGGAAGAGGAGGAGGAACAGGAGGAGGAAAAAGGGTGAACTAACAGTGGGGAACTGTTTTTGCGTTTCTTTCCTGAGCCGCCACTGTTACTGCTACTGGCACTGTGACAGTTAATGCTGTTACTAGGAGGCTCCTTGGGCCTTAAAGACTTGCTGGATTTCAACTTCTGAGGTTTCCTGGACATGGGGGAGGAGGGGACTGAGGAGAGGCCAGAGGGCGTGGAAGGGGATGAGGACGAAGAGGACACTTGTCTGGACTGCATACTGCACACAGGATCCATCGCTCCAGAATTGGCAGGCTGGGCGTTTAGTGTGGTTCCACGAGCTGGTACCGACTTGCTATTTGGGGAGATGCAGGTGGACGAGAGCAGGACCGGGGACACAGAGATGGTGGGTGCTGCAAGATGGCTGACCCCGCACTGGGATGTCAGCACAGAATTTGTCCGGTGAGGAACACGTATGGAGACGGATGATGTAGTACTGGGCACTGGTGGGATCTTCCTGGGAAAAGGAGAGGGCAGGGGATAATATTTGCCACAGTCATCCAAGAAAACTTTCAGATGAACATCATCCCCTTTACCTCTGACACTAAGTGATCACTCTGAAATAGTATAAACCCAGCAAGCCAGTCATCTGCTTCAAATTCTTAACATCTTCCTGGGCTTTCAGAATAAAAGCCAAACCCCCATCATGCTCTGTAAGGACCCGTGTGCCTTGTCCCTTACCACTGTCCCAACTTCACACCCTTATTTTCCATCCCCTACCCTTAATTCTGACTCTAGCCACTGACCTTCCTTAAAGGTCCAAGAATATGTCACAACTTCACTTCACCAGGTGCTGTCAAGCTGACTCCAACTCATGGCAACCCTGTGTGGGTCAGAGTAGAACTGTGTTCCACAGGATTTTCAGTGGCTGATTTTTCAGAAGTAGATCACCAGGCCTTTCTTCTGAGGTGCCTCTAGGTGGACCTAAACCTCCAACCTTTCAGTTAGCAGTCAAGTCTGTTAAATGTTTGGACTACCTATGGACTCAATGCCATTCATGACTTAAGACCCTGTATATCCTTGCCTGGGATTTTCTTACCCCTGAGTCTTCGCTCATTGTCACTTTCTTAGGAAATATGGCCTAATCATCCTGACTTGCTTACCTCCCCACAGACATGCACTGCCCATTCCCAGACTTTGTAGATTACGCTCTGATTCCTTTATAACTATAGCATGGCCAGTGCCCAGGACAGTGCCTGGAACACAAAAAGCACTCAACAAATGCTGAGAGAATTCAGGAACGAATCAGGAAAAAAGGGAAGGGTACAGCTAATTAGTAACAATGTCATTGTCTTTGCTATTGGTCTGAAGGGCTGCACAAGAGAATGGAGCCTCAAACTGCTGGGTGGTACCAATCGCGGTGCTAAAACAATGTATTCTATCAATAATGTATAAGTAAGATATTTATCTGGAGATGGGGAAGTCATTCAAATAATCAAATTAGGGAGACCCCTCCCACCACCATTCTCAGCTCTAATTTTTAAATGTGACAGTATCAACATTTAAAAAAACTCCTGTAGCAAAATTAAAAATGAGGTGGCATCATCAAAAATGGTGCTCTGCTCTTGCCCTTATCAGGTAGCTCTGTCTGATCTAGTCACTGTTCCAGTTGCATCTTGATCTCATCTTTCAAGTAAGTGTTGGCCTAGACTGCTGCTATAGTGCTTCCCAGATGCTTCTTAACAACTATAGTTCCTAAAATAAGAATTACTGCAAATGCTTGTAATACTTTTTACTGCTTTAGAAACCCATTCATGAACGTAGCTCTGGCTGTAAGCCCCTACCCACTGTCATCTAGTCAAGTCTGACTCATATTGACCCTAAAGACAGAGAATTGCCCCTAAGTTTTCCAAGGCTGTAAATTTTTACACAAGCAGACTGCCTCATCTTTCTCCTATGGAATGGCTGGTGGGTTTGAACTTCTAACCTTTTGGTTAGCAGCCCAATGCTTTAACAACTATGTCACCAGAGTTCCTTGGCTTTAAAAGCTAGTGAGTCTCAACTCTGGATGCACATTACAATCACCTGTGGAGCTCAACCATGCTCCTGAACAATTACACTATAATCTGAGGTGTGGGGCATAGACATTAGTAATTTCTACATTTCTCCAAGAATCTAGCTCTGTTCTCTGACAGGCTTATTAGAAATGGACAGTTCTGTGACTTCCATCCCAGACCCACTTCATCAGACTCTGCATCTTACAAAACCCCCCAGGTGGCTCGTGGGCACTGGCACATTTGAGAAGCTCAGTTCTAAATGAAATTCAGGCTCTACTGCTCACTGAGTGCAGTGGCTTCTCATGGCCACCAGGTGGCTCAGGAGGCCCAGGTCTGCAAACCAGGCTGACTGGAACTAAATCCTGGGTAAAGCTTTTACAGGGGGAAAATGTGGATTTGTTGGGGTGACAATTACTGGTTTCTTCTTCAAAAGCTCTTTTTGGCAATTACTAACCTTTGGTATGTAAGAATACATAATCACACTGACTTATGTTTGCACAAATAAACTCTAAAGGCATACAAGAAATTAATAGAAACAGTTCCACCTGTGAGGGTGGGGGTGGGGGTGGGGAAATAGGTGATTGCAGAACAGGGGCAACTAAAGACTTTTATATTTCCATTGTTTTTAGCCATGTGAATGTACTACCTATTCAAAGTGTTAAATTATCAAACAACTAGGCAAACCAACCCTTCTGACAATCATCTAAGCCCCTTCCTTAGAGGATGGGGACTAATGGTCCCAGATCATGAGGTGGGGTAAACTGTTTACAGAAATCACTGGAGACTGGAAATGGCCTCCAGCAGAGGAACTGCTGGTCCAATCTCACCACTGTTTGGACTCCACATGCTGGAGATGGCTAATTTCAAACTTTACTCAAATCCCACCTCCATTTAACCACAAATTTAACCACAATAAGCAAATAAAGGGTAGGACGCTGGGAAACGAGGGCTCTTCCTGGAAGGGAGGATTTCAGCCTGAGCCAGTAGGATGAGGCCTGGACCACTTTAAGAGTTTCCTTGAGTGCCTCAAAGATGCCACTTGAGAATAGCTCTCCTCTGGGTGAGAAGCACAGAGCTACCTCTGGCCACTCTCAGGGGTTGCCTGCAAAGGCTCTTTGATTCAGTGCCACATCACTCCTGTGTGAGGAGCCTTTCCTCAGCATCTGGCCTGGCAGCTCTCTGCAGAGCTCCGGTTTGGCTCAGGCCTGCGTGCCAGCTCATCACTGAGCAACAAGTCTGTCTCTGCTGCAATTAAAGGTCATCTTAATGGAGAGGAATGGTGTTTCCTTTTCCCTGGAAGCAAATGATAAGACAGTTTTCTGACTGAGGACAGAACAGAGAGTAGAGTCAACTCATGATCCTACTTTTCAAACATTCACATGACAAACAGGAAAGCCTGTCTACACAATCTGCTTCTTTAGGAACCAGAACCATCTTCACCCAAATAGGCTGCTGGCCACAAGCCATTTATCAATATCATGGGGGTAAAATGATCTGAGCACCCTTCAAAACACTTATGAGTACTCTAAACTCATTGGCAAGGAGCTTTCCAAGTCCCATTGTGTTAGACTTAACTAAATCAGAAGCTGAGATTTCTTGTATCTTGGGTTGTTTTGACATGGAGAGACCAACAAAACCTCCACAAACTACTCCCAATTCTTCTTCTGGGCAGGGACTATGTTCCTGCCTAACACTCTCCAGCAGAAGAGTCTCCAAAGCATTAAGAACCAGGAGGAAAATGTACAATAAAGAGCAGAGTGCCAGTCCTCTGCACATGACTTTCTAAGTGAACATGTGTTAAGTCCCATTAGCAATCATGTAGCAGGTTCTTTGCCTTGTGGACTACCCAAGGCCTCTGACCAGACTGCTCTGTCTTTATTAGGAAACCAAGGCAGGGAGACAAGCAGATATACTGACAAAGAATCCCTCCCCCTTAAAAAAAGGTTCCCAGGTCAAAAGAACTTGGGAGCTGTTCCACATTATACATGATATCCCTGCTTTGAGAGTTACACTGGATACTGCCTAGTAAAGGCTGAAAAGTCCTGCAGTAAAGAAAATAATTTTACTTAACGAAAGGCTAAGTTAGGCTTTTTGTGTGCATGTGTACACCGTGGAACATTCTTTTCTAGTTAAAATCCCATACGGGAAACATTAGCAGCCATAATGCCACGCATTTTGTGTCATCCTACATTGTAAATCAGACCAGGGGGCTCCTTTATCTAAAATCCCACAACCATTTCCCAATGCACTCATTATCAACTTCACTATCACCTGGCCCCTGCTGACTTTCAGACCTCATATTGTATTATGCTTGCTTTCTTGCTGTTTTTCAAATCAGCCACATTCTTTTCTGACTCGAGAGTGTCACACATGTGGTTCCTTCTGCCTAGAACCCACCCTCCCCCTACAATCCCAGTGGATGCTTTCTCACCCGTGCATCTCAGTTTAAGGGTTGATTCTTCAGAGGAGCTCCCTGACTGTCCCTGTCCCTACCACTCATTTGCTCTCTGAACATGTACCTCTCAGTTTCATTACCTATAAAATAGAAATCATCATGGTAACCTGACATACATAACTGCAAAAATCAAATACACATATTCAATGAATTGTCTGACACATAATAAGCTCTAGGTAAGCAATAGCTATTGTTACTATTTTTTCCCACGATTTCCATTATGACACACTGTGTTCCCTTAAATTTTCTGTTCATGGGTTTTTGTCTTTCTCTCCCAGATAAAATATGAGCTCTGCACAAGTGGGAGTCCTTCTGCCTTCAACCCCTACACCCAGAATGATATGTTTGCTAAATGAGTGAATGGCTGACTGGTGAGGAGGTCTTCTTCTCAAATCTAGTCAAAGGCCTTATTTTTCTTTTAGGTAAGCCATTAAATTATCCCTGTAAGAAATAAAGAAGATACAAAGATGCAGCACTGAGGAAAGTCAGTCCCCTCTTCCAACAATGAACATCAACCCCACAGAGGCTGTGGTGCAGGCACTTACTTCCACAGCTGCGCATTCAGATGCTTCTCCACCATGAGGTTGAGGGCGCAGCGAAGCCGGTTCCACCTGGAGTCAAACACGTAATAGCCTCTTCCAATCTGCCGGCTTCCAAATGTGCAAAACTGAAAGAGAGAAAACCGTACTTCCTTCCTTACCAACTCCAACAACAGCACACCCTGGTGTGGGTTCTCTCTCCTTCAAGAAAGGCACTAATCATGAAAGACAGAGCTTACTCTGAGTACCATACACTGTGAAGCATGAGAGTGACAATGCCTAACCCTGAGTATTGTGGAAGAGAAGGGGAAAAGCATGAGACGGCCCCCAGACAGAGGGCGTGCCGCCTCTGGGGTGCCCTGTTCTGAGCTGCTCTCACACCAGGACCGCGTCCCACATGTAAGGGCATGCCAAGGTCCCTGGCGCGCCCCCCTGCAGTGCCCTGTCCATGCTGCGTGGGGAGGGTCAACGCGGGGGTGGACGTGGAACTTACAGATGCTGGCTGAGGATGATGACCTGAATAATGACAGTCCAGTTTTTCAACAGACTCTTCTTTGTCATCGCCTTCGCCCTCCTCACTGGATAACCGAGAAGCTGGCTCAGTGGCAGGCAGGGGAGGGTGTGGAGATTCATGGACTGGAGGAGGGTCAATGGGGGCACTCCCACCTTGCTGAGCAGGGCAGCCTGGAGGCCTTGGTGAGTAGAAAGTGCATCACGGATCAATCAAATGCCTGGGAATAGCCGCCTTAACTCAGATACAACAACGTATCCAAAACCACCACGGGAGGCCTGGGTTCAACCACTAACAATGGAGGAAAACAGATGCTGATCCAGGTGGGTTGGGAGTAAAGGGAAATGTTTCCTGAACTATACAGTGTTAAACAAAGCCATTTTCCAGATAGAATCCAAGGTAACTCATAATTAGTTCTCTTTTCTAGAGTCATTTGGGTGGCTTGGCTCTCTCTTCCATTCTCTGCAAGGGGAAAATATATATGGAATTTAAGAGAATTCTTTCTCTAATTCCACAACTGGATTTGGGTTACTGAAGCAATTATTTGGAATAACTGGCAAAGTGTTCTAAAATAACATGATAGGGAAGGGAGTGAAAGAAAAACCACCATGGTAGCATCGCTACTTTATGCAAGGACCAAACTCAACCCACTGCCATCTGGTCAATTCCGACTCATAGCAGTCTATGGGACAGAGGAGAACTTCCCCATAGTGTTTCCAAGGCTGTAAATCTTTACAGAAGCAGACTGCCTTATCTTTCTCTCATGGAACGGCTGGTGGATTTGAACCACTGACCTTTTGGCAAGCAGCTGAATGCCTTAATCTCAGAGCCAGCAGAGCTTCTCTTATGCAAGGACAGTAATATATTTTTCTTACATTTACAATGGCCTGGTGGTTCTCAAATTATACTTTTTTATATATGGAAAAACTTCCATGAGGTGTTGGCCCAAGGACTTGTTAAGGAAGCTACAGCCAAGGCCTGACCTGGCTTCGGAGAGCCTCCTCTGATTGCTCCTCCACTACATCGCTGAAAAAAAATCACACAGCTCATGTGGGATAGGCTCAAGCATACACTGGGGTTTCTGTGAAGGGGGTACTTTCACCCCTTATGTGACAACTACAAAGATCAGACACATGAGGATGAAATGTTTAGTAACAGCAACCAAGGCTGTTGCCTAAGGTGATGCCCTTGTTACCAATATTTAAACAGCCGACACTGAGGTCCCTCACTCTCTAAGCCTTTTTGTTTCCCTTACCTCTAGAAACTGGGTACAACGCCCTTTACTTCAACTTGGTTAAATACGCAAACACAAACACACGTATCTTCCACATTCACTGTCTGCAGGTATGTGTATGATAAATTTTCAGTATGACACTTTGATCCATTGCTTACTATGGTGCTAATGCCCACTACACGCTCAGGCCAAAGTCCCAAATGAATGAATGAAAAAACATGTTGAAAAATGGATGCCATAAAAACTAAGGCTGAAAGCCTGTCCCCAGCAAAGATTCCCATTGCTGTGTTTTTGCAAGAAGCGAGAGAAATGAATGGGAAATTGCTGCCAAAGCCATGTGAAATGTTCCAATCACTAACCTGTACAGAAAGGACCAGAGTCAATGGGGGACCCCTGGTCAACAGAGTTAACAGATACCTAATGCTGAGCAAAGGTGGATCAGAAAATGCTAACTTTATTTTCTTGCTTGTATTTGGCCAAGAAGCAGCCAAATACTGCTTGAAGCTTCCTGGTGAACTGAACAAATTTTTTCTCTCTCATGGTAAATCCAAATTAAAAAAAAAAAAAAAATCTCCATAGTGAGCCTGATGCACATTTCTTGATACCATGGCTGTACTGGAGTTGTGCAATAGCTGCAAGGTAGTTCTTTGAAGGGGGAGAAGAGTTGGAAGGCTTGGCTTACCTTGGAAGACTGAGGGTGTGAGGTTTAGGTTTACTAGCTACTAAAAGCTTTGATTCAGAAGGAATCACTCCATGAGAGTTTTGGTGTGGCTCCTGTGACGTTCTAGGAGGGGCGGGATGCAGGTCCCTGAGAGGCTGTGTTGGTTGCTGAGAGTCCGGATGGCGAATCGATTCCTTTTCCCTGGTTTTATTTTTGTGCTCGGCTAATAACACGTCAAATCGTTTTCTTCTACCCTGGACAGCCCTCCGCTGGGTTAAGGAATGTGTCTACAGACCAAAAAAATACATTAACTGAGGATCATAATAATTTTTTATCTGCCCTATATTCATAAACACTCCTCTCAACAAACAAAAAGCATTCTGAACCGTTAATGTGGTCAAAGGCTGCTCAGCATCTGATAAGCCAACAATCTTCTGCTGGAAAGAAGCACTTATTCCAGGCTTTAAGTATATCAGAATGTGGTGTGGTGATTTACTCTGGGAAAAGAGGAAATGTTAGCTGTGCCGCTTGTTATTTAACTGAGAGGTAAATGGTAGAAACACACAGGTGATATGTATGAATATTATGTTTTGTGTCACAAAAACATGCTTATATTGAAAATCCCATTTAACTATTTAAAATTTTGAGTATTTAAAGAAGAGAAAAACATTGTTCCTTAAGACAAGCATCACAAAGTTTTCTTTTAGTAACCTGTCAGAGAGCAAAAATTAGACACAACTGCTTCTCTCTACTCTAATGAAAATGCTATGTAAATAGAGAGAGTGGCTCAGAGGATCTTCGAAACAGTGAATGCTACTGCCAAGGAGGATTTTAGAGGAGTAAAGAATATGAGGCTAAGAGAAGAAAGGCTGTGAAGAGGAAGAGAGATAAAACATAGTGAATTCCTGTAAACAAACACCTGTTATTGAAATCAAGAAAACGGGATGGATGGTATTCTTGGGTCTTAAAATTACATCGAATTTCAGGACTAAGAAATGGCACATCGAGAAAGGGAATGTCAATTATGGCAGTGCTTTCCTTACGTGGGCAGTGCATGTAAGCTTGTCATGGAAGAACATTTTATTTAAAAAAAAAAAAAGTCTATACTCCAAATCCATCTGATAATTACTGGTATTTTTAAAAACAAACGCTCATTTGGGTTAATGCCATTCTTAGCAGAAGATGAAGCTGAATGTGTAAGTATGAAATGGTCAGAGTCAGGCAAGTCAAGTCCTACCACTGTGAAAAGATTGTAGAAGTCATGTTAACTGGACCATTCCACTCTGCTGGAGTCTCCATCTATAAAGACTGCAAGGAGACACCAATTCTCAGGAGTAGATAAATACATTAACCACAGTGATTCCAACTCACATATCCATTGAATGTAAGTGAATTCAACCACATACTTGTTTTCCTCTTTTATGATGAAAAACACCATAAATGGTATTTTATGTTTGTGCTAATACACACTATACACACATGTTGCCTCACAAACTGTGCAGTGTGTTTGCTACAGTTTAAAGGATTTGAGAGGAATTATGCTTCCAATATTCATTTAAAATTCAGTAACAAAACCTACTCCTTACTAGACACACCACAAACTATGTCCACCCAAAATCTAATCTAGCACAAGACAGATAAATAAATGTGTTTAGTCTCTTTTTAAATTCTTATTTAATTTTCTTTAATAGATATCCACAAAAAAAGTATTCTAAATGAGGACAAAATGTTTTGTTTAGTGCTTTATGAAATACTTAGAAAAGCACCTGGCATTCAATAAATGCTTCAGGCAAAAAGCCCATTAAAACAATACCCAATGAATGAATGAGCACAGTATGACTGGTCCTCCTGCCTGTCTCTCCAAACAGATTATAGACTTCTCCTCATCTCTGAAGGTCCTCAGGTACTTAATGCAGTAGAGCCAAATTAAGAAAGTAGACAAAGATAGTATTTTCAAGAGCTCGGTTTAAGGACTGAAGGATTCCACAGTGCTCACAAATACATTACACACACAAATCTGATGATTCCACCCTTTCCTCCCCAAGAATCCTCCAGAGGCCGACCGTGTAGGACTGTGTGACTAGGCCTCTGGGGTCCTGTTCACTCTCACACTCCTGCTCATATTCCCTCCTCCTCTGGTTCCATATGCCTTCTCCTTCCCTTTTCCATTCAGCCACCTGGCCTTCTTCAGGCCAGTAAAGTATTTGCTCTGCCTGCCCCTTGCCTCGCCCCATCCCACAGCCTTCACACATGTTGTTTCCCGAGCCTGAACATCTCCTCACCCTTGTTTGTGCAGATTAAAAACGATCACACAGATTTCAGTCTACCGTTCCTATGGCAAGGAAGGCTTCCCTGGCCAAACCCTCTTACTGCAGGCTCTTACAACACATCTCTTTATAAATCACTGTGGTAATTTTACACTTATTTGAGTGATTATCTGATTAATACCTATTTCCTTCCTCAGACTGCAAGTGCCAGAAGAGCAGGGAACATGTCTTGACATCTTCATTTTATTAAACTGTGTATTGTCTGGAACCTAGAATGAAGCCTATTTAACTAGTTGTACGCAGTATTTCTCCAATGACTCAACAGGCCAAGGTAACCAGAGTCAAAATCTATTCTCCAGGAAGGCATAGAAGAAGAACCAGGAGATTAGACAGTGAGGAAGTAAAGTGGGGAAGTGAGAGCGTCAGGTAGACAAGATTGGAAAGATGGACAGAAGTGGGAGCAGCAGGGCCCCTGTTAGTAAAGAGAATGAATAATGATCTAAGAAGAGACCTGGACACCAACTTGGGGATTTTCAGGGTAGGGACACTATATACATCTTAATCGATTCTGGCCAGAATGAAAGCAGGTAAAGGGAGGACTGATAAATAAAAACCTGTAAGAAAGTAAGGGCAATCTGCCAAAGGGCATGCTCGACAGGATACTGTATCTTCTGGTTTTATAACAACCCAGAGCTGAAGACATAATATTAATGCAACGACAGGCTTAGCACTATGCTTCTGAAAATAATAATACTCTTAAAAGAACACATTTGAAAAGGAAGATGGGAGGGAAAAAACAACAGAGGATACACACAAAATCTATTCACTGAGCAATAAGGCTCAGCTCAAGCTCACTGGGAATGCTGAGCTGAAAAAATTTCTGGCCCACCACCATGCCTTATAGATGATTACAAAAGAGTATCTTGGGTAAAGAAAGCATCCTTCATTGATCAGTTTACATTATGGTGAGATATCCATGCCACTGGAGCCAGGGAGGCAGGAAGAGAATAGGAGAGGGTGGTCAGTTGTGAGCAGTGTAGGACAGGGCAGAGGCCTGCTTTTACTACCCCTGAGGTAGTGAAGCTGTGACACAATTCTACTGCCTTTCCATAAGCACAGTGGTATTTTAAAAGAATTAAAAGAAAGTATCAGGATATTTTATTGGTTTATGTATAAATTAGGTATTTACCAGCTCCATTAAAAAAAAACCCTAGAAGAATAAGGCTTTGTCAACAAAGTTAGATTTCTGAAAGTGGCTCTTCAAAACTTAAGAACCACAGATTATAGAAACATTTCAAGAATTATTTGTTTGCATGCAAAGGGAATTTCTACACTTATTTTAAATTGGCACAATTTAAACCACAGTAAAGGTTTGTCTCTCCAATTAAATCTCTATGTGGAAATATTACAAATCTTTGAAAATAACAGATTAGGAAAGAACATCATTCCCCTGGATACAACATTGCTCATTAGACAAAACCTCTCTCATAACCATAATTTCTAATAATAGACTTCTCATTTTGTTAACTTCATTGACAAAATTTTTATTATTCATTATCTACAAAATTCAGAAGAATCCACAGATCATCAGGTTAAAGAGACTTTGGGAGCCCCTCAGTATATCCAAGACCGTTTTTGCTTATCAGTCACGCGTTTACATTGCAGGAGGCCACCCACCTTGCATGTCAAAGACCGGGTGCAGGGCTTCTTGGTGTCGAGATCAATGACCCCACAGTGTATATCAGGATCAAACTCTCTTTCTGTCAAAAGCATACAGACATTACAATGGGATTGCCAAACCTTGGTTCGTTTTGTGAAGAAGTTAACAGAAGAAATCTCAAGACAGACAAATTATGATCTGAATAAAATCTACCACATCATCAATAAACACAAAATATACAACAAAGAATATATATAACATATAGCAAAACAGCAGCAACATCACTAACATACTGGATGACTATTGCCATCAAATACAGGAAAGATACTGTTTAAATAAGCTTTACTATGCTATTAATACAGTCAGCACAAAACCACTACAAAGCTATTTTTGCATTACTTACATACACACCCACATGCTTTTAGACCCAAGAATGAAGAGGATAAACATATTACCTAAAGAAATTTCTCTAAAAGCTGAAGTTGGCCAGGATTAAAAAGCAGACCTACAGACAGCAGTTTATTTGCTCCCTATAGATGCCCACTAAATATATAAACATTACTAAGAGAGAAAATGTGAAGTTACCTGATAATCTTTTATTTAAAAATTTCCGATTACTGGAATTATCTTCAGATTTCTTTTCCAGAGCGGGTGGTAGAGGAAGGCCTTTGCCATTTAGAATCTGTCCAGATGAAGGCATGGTTGGCTTTGGTATTGAGGGGCAATTAAGGCCAGACTTGACTAAAGAACTCACAGTAGCAGGACACGTTGGACCCACTGCAGATTTCAGTAGTGTGCCATCCATCTTCGGATGAATCTTCTCCACTTTGACAGAGGCCGTCATGCTGTTGTTGAGGGAAGTGAGAACACCACCATCTGAGTGCCCTAGTAGCTTCAGGAGGCTGCTGAGCTGGAGGGACAAGGGCAGAGCCTGGGTCTGCCCATATACTGCAGGAGGCCAGCTCCCATGAGGCACCTTATGGATGTTTGTTTCAGAAAAACATGTAAGGTTCACACTTACTCAGTATAAGCCCTTCTGGCAAGGCAAAGCCCAGAAGATCATAAAATTTACTTGATCTTTCATCATTCCAGAAAAATGCTACACATGGACCAAGGGCAAAACTGGACCTGATACCAAATGTAATTTATGCAAGAAGCAAAAACACTAAAAGGTCTAAAAGGACTAAGACTACATGGAGGGCATTTAAAGAATATCTTTTGAGAACTGTCATTTTTAAGAAGGAATTCATCTAAACATAGTAAACCTCTGAATGAGTCAATAAATAAATAAATAATAAGAGAATACTTCCAAGAAGTATCAGTAAGAACCTACGAGAACTCCAAGGAGCCTAACAATGTTACCTAAAAGCTGTTGAGTGTAACATATTTTCACTTTCTGACACACATTTTAACCTACATGTATCAATTTCAGGGGCTCTGTGCTTCTGTCAAAGGAGCTCTGGTGGTCGTGGTTAAGACATTTGTGGTAACCAAAAGGTGGGTAGTTCTAACCCACTAGCTGCTCCACAGAAGAAAGATGGGGCAGTCTGCTTCAGTAGAGATTTACAGCCTTGGAAACCCAATGGGGGTCATTATGAGTCAGAATCAATTCAATGGCAGAGTGAGTTTGGTTGGGTTTGGTGCTTCTGTCAATGAGGAAGACCAGTGTTTAATTAGCACATGATGTGTGAGTGAAGTAACAATTCTCCAGGCCCTAAAAAAAGTTTCTATTATAGGAGCTTAGCATATAAACCCTTGGCAGAGGGTTGGTGAACAATGAACTCATGGCCCTCAAGCAAAGGATTATTTCTCTTGGAATCTTATCAACGCACCATTTTGCTTGGTAAAACTTACTGTGTGAAGCTAACAGTTGGCCTGGTCCTCCTCTAAAGCCCAGCTCCAAATAAAGGTTTGGATTGATAAGGTTTCATACACTTTGTTTAGCAGAGTTGGTGTTCTAACAGCTATTAAGCTGGAGAGTGGCTTACACACTGCGTTGGCATTTTCTCTGGCTTTCACACAGCTCAGGAATGAAAAGCAAACTTTCTACAGTGCACTTCTGACAGATGAGCAGGGCTGGGGGCTTAGCAACCAGGACAAACAGCCTCAAACAGCTGTATCTAGAACAGCTTGACAGTAGCAGAGACACTGCAAGATGCCATGGCTTCTCCTACCCAGCAAGGTCCTTGGGCAATAGCAGGTGCTGGACCCTGCCCTGAAATTAACCAGTTTATTAGAACCTTGAGACTTGAGATATGTGGCATACCCTCCAAAAGGGAGGGAGGCCAGGGAAAAGCTACCCCCCACCAAAACTAAGTAGGATGCCATGACAAGGCAAGATGTGATTACATGGGAGTACATGAATGTTCCCTCATGTGATCTCAAGGTGCCTGCCAACCTACAGATCCACTATGGAAACTTGCCAAAGCTTGCCTGGTGGGTGTGAACTTCTTTCAGTCTTCCTTATCACTTGGGTTCCTGACATGAACCCAAGGCTGGCGGGGAGGAAGCCTTGCTTCCCTATTTGCTTTGTTTGTTGTTGTTGTTTGCCGACGAGTCGGCCCCGACTCATAGCGACCCCCTCCTTGGGTTTCTGAGGCAGTATCACTACGGAAGTAGGATTGCCCAACCTTCCTTCCGAGGCCCCAGAAAATCCTAGAGCAGCTACTTGAAATATCTTCATCCTCTTATCATTACTATTATCAGCAATAACAGGAACACCAGCTTCTATTCATTAATGATCTCTTACATGTGAGATCCTATGACATAATATCTGAAGACTATTATCACCAACCTTGCACAGTAACTATGGGAAAGAAGAAGTGCCTTGCCCAAGGCCCTGCAGCTAGGAAGTAACACAGGTAGAACCTGAACCAGGGCCTGTTCAACCTGAGGTTGTCTCAGGTTAATTCCTTCAACCATATCAAGCTTCATTTTCCTTATCTGGAAAATGGCAATAACAAGATTGTTGTTGTTGTTATGTGCCTTCGAGTCAGCCCCTGACTCATAGTGACCCCTCCTTGGGTTTCTGAGGCAGTATCACTACGGAAGTAGGATTGCCCAACCTTCCTTCCGAGGAGTGGATAACAAGATTAGTAAGTATTATTTTTGCTATTACTACGCTATAAAGTCTCCCAAGAATAAGATTGTTGTTGTTGTTGTGTTTGCCACTGAGTCAGATCCGACTCATAGGGCCCCCTCCTTGGGTTTCTGAGGTGGTATCACTACGGAAGTAAATTGCCAAACCTTCCTTCTGAGGAGTGGCTGGTGGGTTTGAACCTCCAGCCTTCTGGTAAGCAGTCAAATGCCTTAGGTACTATGCCACCAGAGCTCCCAAGAATAAGATACGGAAACAAAAAGAAGCAACAATATTATTTCTGAAATTTTCCCTAAATGGGTTCTCTTTCATATCATTTATAGATAGAGCCCAGGCCCCAGGTGCTACATACAGTCCCATTTCCTACAGGGAAGCTTTAAACACTCTTGTGGCTATACTTACATTCTATGAGGGACTCTATTTTGCTGAATGGGATGCATTGGCCTGGTGTTCCCCCTGAGCTGCTGTTTCTCTTTGGGCAATTTTGACAACTTGAAACCTGACGAGGATGCGCTCAGGACACCTCCACTCGAAGAACGGCTGCTTCCACTTGCACTGCCTCCTTTGTTTTTAGACAGAGAATGGAAAAAGGAGAACACTGAAGTGGGAGGAACGGCCAATGTAGGCTTGCTGGGTGAGCTGTGTCTTCTTTCTGGCAAGGAAAACAAAGAAAAAATGTCATCACATTTCAGTCAACTCTCAAATGGAACCCTATAAGAATACCCTGAAAACAATACGTGTAAATTAAAATATGTGTCAGTAAGTGAAAGTGTATTAGAGTTAACAGCTTGCAGAAGGCTTATCTAGGCCCCACAGACTTATTTAAGATTCTAGCAACTGGTCCTCCTGTTTGGGAAACATCTCAGGATAAAGAAGTTTATCACATATACCCATTAGGAAATTAAACAGCCAGCCTTAATGTAAGAATATTGCCTTCTGAGTTGTACGTGGTACAAATGAACCTCACTGGTTCCAACCTGCAGCCAGAGAAAGGAAAATCATTCATTCATCTACAGAGCTTGCTAACTGACACTGCATTGGAGTCTTTCCTTTCTAGCATAGCACCTCTTCAATTTTCAAAATAGCAAAATGTTAAGAAACAAGTTGTACCTTTTTTTTCTTTTTTAATGTCACTACCCATCAGCATTTCACTGCAAAATTTCAGCACAGAGTCTTAAGGAATGAATGAAAAGGTAACCCTAGAAACATTCTTATTGGTGAAGGAAGGTTGGGCAATCCTACTTCCGTAGTGATACTACCTCGGAAACCCAAGGAGGGGTCGCTATGAGTCGGGGCCGACTCGACGGCACATAACAACAACAACAACAACCACCCACCAGCATATGACACCAATAAGAATGTTTCTAGGGTTACCTTATCATTCATTCCTTAAGACTCTGTGCTGAAATTTTGCAGTGAATCATTTCATCCCCCCCCCCCTTTTTTTTAAATAATCTCACTTGACTACAGATGGCACAGCTCCGGTTCGCACAACTAAGATGCCAAAGGCGCAAGACAAAAATACCACAAATAGCTACGCCTAGTTTTCAAACCAGGAAGTAATTCTTAGTTAAGTATAGACCACACAGGTTTTAACTGAAAATAAGCCTAAAGTAACTAAGACAACAAATCTATCCACTAGAGAATCAGGTTTTCTCAGAGTAAACCAATCCACAGTAATAAATCAGGAGCTGTTGAAGAATGTTACCATCTGAAACAAATAAATTATTTGGTAACTTGATCCACTTAAATACCTTATGATGGTAACTTACTGGCTGTTTTCAAGTAACCTTGTAATTTAAAAATTACACATTTGCTTAACTTTAAATTTTAAAATGCATATGATCCAACATTTACTTATGACAATATGGGAGCTAAATGAGTATTTAAAAATTATGCACGTTAAAAATCAGTGACTACAAGTATCACGTCAATGGTTTCTTGCCAAAGGTCTTTGAATAACAGTCCTGAGCATCTCCGTGAAGCTGTGCTGACTTATTCCTGGAAGGATACTACTTCAACATGCATTATGAGGTACTTAAGAGTCCATTCCACACGAGGACAAAATTATTATGTGACCTACACACAAAATTCAAACTCTCCAACTTGACTACACAAAGGCTACAACCAACTTAGGAAGGGCTCAATTGATAGTGCCTTTTTTAAAGTCCTTTTGCCTCCCGCCACCCCCACCATGAAATCTGTGTGTAAGAAAGGAAAAAACTAAAATAACTTAAGTTTAATAACTTTCCAAATTCCACATAAGGTTTTTTGTTTTACATTTAGTCTCTCTGTCCTCTGTGATCACAAAACTCTGAACATACTTCCAAGTCAGCATTTATCAGCCAGGATTGTGTAAAACCCCTGTTTACAGTTCTGCTGGCTGCCCTGAAGAGCAGTTTCCTTGAGCTGTGCCTTGGGTCATCTTCCTCCGTAAGGCATGGCACAGAGTAGGCCTTCAACTAACCTTTGTACAATAATTAATTCGAGTAGTGTTTGCTTTAGCTTTTAATTCAATGAATGTTTGCTTTTCTTGTAAAGAGGAGTGATTTTCCAATGACCCTAGGCCAGTGGTTCTCACCCCTGGCTGCACACTGGGATAACCTAAGGAGCTGATTTAACTGTTTTGGGGTGTGGCACAGGCATCCAGAAATTTTACAAGCTCCGCTGCGTGATTCTACTATGCAGTCAAGGTTGAAAGTCTGCCCTAGATTCAAGTAATGTCTCAAGAACTATTAACCACGGCTGAGCAAGTTAACATTTGTACAGCACTGAGAATACTACCTGGCACATGGCACTCAAGCGTATTGCTACTACTTGCCCTAGTATTTCCCACACTTCCACTAATTATGAAAACTATTTTCACAATTTTTACAAAGCCACATAAAATACTGTTTTTTCCCCACAACATTTTTTAGTTAAATCAAATTATCATCAACTCACCCACTTCTACCTCCTTAGCCTAATACCAACTAATCTCTCAATGGGGACATTATGTGCATTTTAGACAGGATAATTCTTAGTACATGATTGAAGGATGTTTAGCCCCCTACCTCTTAATCACCAGTAGTGAGCCTCTGCCAGGAGCAACATGAAACCATTCCTCAATCCATCTCCATATGGCCCCCAGGGGAAAAGAGGGAACTACCTTCAGTTGAGAGAGATTTTCTAAGACAAATTTCAGCTATGTATCTTTATCTGTGAAACAACAGGTTTCATAAGCTTATTATATGTATTTTGTATGATACACATTAAAAGTAAAATGCTCATCCATGTTTCTCCTAAAATCATCTTGTGTGCCACCAGTAGCAGTACAATGAAGGGATAAGCCCAGGTCTGTGGTCGGAAGAGAGTAATCAACTAGAACTTTGACTTCTAAGAAGTACACTCTTTTTACTCTTCTCTGGGTATTTGAATTTTCAAGCAGATGTCTCAGAGCAAGTATGGTGTATTTTACCTTAAGATCAAATGATGTAAATAAAAATTCCAATTAAGTCAGTCAACTGTGTTACAATGCTCGTTTTAAAAATATGCAAAGTTGTTCCAAAGTCATTGATATACTAGGGAACAATGTGAACATCACGCAAATTCTGCATTTGCTTCTGTGCAATTTTGTCGGTGAGAGTGAATGCAGAAAACTACACTACACACAGCTGAACTAAGCCAAGTGGGAATACACAAAACACACCCATCAGTTACCGCCTTGGTTCATCACCAGTATTACAAGCCACACCCACCCACAGATGGTGTTACAACTTTCCTTCCAACTTCAGATAACCCTCCTCCCACTTCCACCATTTCACAAGAACTCACAGACTGCAACCAGTTCTGATGCCCACTTCAACAAGCAAACTTCAGGTCTTTCTTGAGGTAAAGGGCCATATTTATTCTAATACTTGTACATTTTAACCATTTAACATATGTAAAATGATTCTGTCATTATTCTTTGGATTCCTTTGTGTGTGTGTATGTGTCACTGATTAAGTTTTGAGTATTATGTCCGTAACCCCACTCCCTACAATCCTCGAGTTGTTTTCACTGTACAACTTTGCATAATGCAGTAATTTTTCAGGAATACATATATCATGCTATGGCAGAACTCACTGTGATGCTCAGCTTGTCCTTTGCATTTCCTATTCGCTTCATATCCACCTTCCCTTTTCTTTTGTTAATATCTTCCTTTCTTATCTATTAAATCTTGAAAAGGGATTTAGCACTAGAAAGTCAAGATTCAAAGCTTTCTAAAACATTAAAAGTCAACTGATTTATCAGTAACATTCCAAAATAAAATTGTATTTTCTATTTCAACAATAAAAACTATTTAAAAAACTAAGAATGGCAATCTGTCATATGAATTTCTTTCATTCACTAAAACTTGAAACAGATTGTGTGTGTACATGTGTGTAACAGATTTTGCTGAAAACTGCCAGCTCAAATTGTTGTCATGCCACTGAATTAAGCTGGTCCTTCACGTTATGGTCTGGTAACTTATTCTGTTAAGAGGGCAGCATCTGGCTTTCCCCTCACTAGGAAGCAGAGGTAAAACCAAATTTCATTATACTTGAGTTGAACTACCCTCATCTGTTGACCTTGGGCCTGCTTTCATAGGATTTTAAACTGGGCTTCTAATTCTGTTTGATTTTTTTTTTTTTTTTTTTTGCGGGGGGTGGGGCGGAGAATGTGTTTGTCCCTAGATCAAAAGAGAAACAGGCAAATTATGGATCAGATTATCAAAAAAAATTCCCACTGCCATCAAGTCAATTCCAACTCATAGCAACCCTACAGAACAGAGCAGAACTGCCCCACAGGGTTTCCAAGGCTGTACCATCTTTACTGAAGCAGACTGCCTCATCTTTCTCCCATGGAGTGGCCAGTGAGTTTGAACTATCAACCTTTGGTTAGCAGCGAAATGCTTTAACCACTGCACCACCAAAGCTCCTCATGGATCAGGTTAGGGACCCTATATTAAGTGGACAAAGTGGTGGCCAGATGCTAAGTGTAACTGCAATGTGGTTTACAAAGGAGCCCAAGTTAGTTTTCAAAGCACTCCTCTCGCCAGGGTCTGGCACCAGCCCAGAGAAAGCACACGCTGTTCCTGAAAGAGGAGGGCACTTTGATTGGCTCCAGCAACAGAGACAGTCAGGCAGATTGACAAAACAGGCAATTACAGAAACAGAGAGTCAGAGAAAGACATAGGTGAGTGTGTGTGCTGGGGGACAGAAGGAGGGGCAGCAAACACATACACAGACACACAGAGATAGAGACAAGAGAGCAAGAAATGGATGCCCAGGCTCTTGTCCTTGTGGCCTGAACATGTGACACTGCTGAAGGCAGTGGCAGGATATGTAGGGAGGACTGGCAAGGGGAGGAAGGAGGACAGCTCTCTGCAGGTCTTCCAAAATGGAAAACAACCATGAATACTGAGCTTGTAATTTTGCATTCATGCCGCATATATATATATATGTATGTGTATATATATATATAGATAGATATGTGTGTGTGTGTATATATATATGTATATGTATATATATATATAGATAGAGAGAGAGAGAAACAGACAGACAATTAATAAGGAAGACTGAAGAAGAGTCAATGCTTTTGTGTTGCGGTGCTGGTGAAGAATGCTGAAAGCCATGGACTGCTAAAAGAACT